GTCAGACATGCCTGGCCCACGTTGCCCTAAAATGTTTACATCTACTGTGCTGTTGCTTGTATCTTGATGCTTGGTTCTGATGTACAGTGTGGGCTCTCAGTGTATATGGGCCGATGTTGTGCAGAAGGGAAATGAACTGTGTAACATGGTATAAACGTTCTGTCTGCATTGCATAAAACATTGCCCATTGACTGCCAATCCTGTTTTTTTTCTTCCTCTGCTAAAATCACAGCACAAACTGTTTCCCCCGACAACAATATTTCACAAGCAGTTTAGCCGTTCAAGTTTAGATAATGGCTAAACAATCCCTTTCCTCAAATAAACCATTCCCACATCTGAGAGGCTTATGCCAATAGTTGTGTATCTCCAGTCAGTCAAAACGGGCTTTGCTGCAGGACATGAGGGTGGATGCCAAGTGGAAAGTCCTTGCAAAGAATATTCACAACAGTAACAAGCAAGGGCACGTGTGTGTGTGTGTACAAGTGAGGGCCATGTCTTTAGCTCTTTGTGGTAGCAAACATGGAATGAGTTAATCCACAGTAAGTAAAATGTGTTCAAAATAATACACTTCTAACAGCATGCAGTTACCAATGAAACATAGCATTCATTTGTTTATAGTTTACATTTATTTCCAGTGGTGGGGTAACATGGTATAAAGTATATGTCACAGTTATATAATTACTTTTTTTCTGTTATTAAGTAGCATAAGACATTACAGCATAAATTCTCTCTCTGCCAATTTCTCTAAAGTTCTGCATGATATAATGGTTAAGATTATTGTCATAAATCATCAGAGTAGTTTTAATGTGAAATGCCCAGTTCTAGAGAAATTCAGAGTCAGATTTGTTCACAGTGGTGGTGACAGAAACTAGACATCTAAAGAGTTTAATGCTTCTTAAGCTACCTCACAGAAGTATATTATATGAAATGGTTTTGAGTACACTACCTGATGTCTGAGACATTGGTTTATGATTTTGGCCTTAAAGTTATTTTTTAAAGCCATTCATGGTGGAGAGGTACATGCAGGATGTCGTAAGGGAGAAGAAAACGTAATTTTGCTGATTTTTTACTATTTTACCATCATCAACATTACATATAGAACTTAGAAGATACATGTATGTTCACTGGTGGTTTTGGACAGTAAATAAAATGGTTACATGTAGACTTTGTGATCCCTGGTTCCTATCACCACCCTTACAGAGTAATCAGAGTTGGTGAATTTCTCTAGAATGGAGTATTTCACATCTCAGCCACTGAATTATGCAGCTTGTGTTACTTGCATGTCTCTAAGAGAACAATATTAATCATGTGTGATTCATTTAAAGGTCTTTTATACAGATTATGAGTACCTGTGACAGCTGACTGTTTGACTGTAATTGTGAATGTGAGCAGCACAAGTGGCGGAAGCATCGTTAACTCAATAAACAATCTGTCAGTATTTAATTATAATATGAAACTGATGAATACAGATCCCTGTGCTATTGAAGAGAGGGCCCCAAGCTCATCTAAACAGGACAGATTTGATTTTCATCTCCATTTCAACTCTGTGCTCTTTAATCTTAAAACGCTAAGGTGTTGAAGTATTTCTAGTGACTAATTTATAGATTTTCCTAAAGGCTTAACAAATGAGAAAGCTCGCTTGTCTACATCTATTTAGATACCATAGGGGAAAATCATGAATGGACAATTTTCCACTGGCTGTTTCAAGATTTTAATCATTTTCAAGAAGTAATAAATAATAACTTCATCCCATTGCAGTTTGAGGGAAGTAATTACTGATCTGTAAAGGATTGCTACTCAACACTATTTATTTTATACTGAATTTCATACTAATTTTCCTACTGATTTTCTTCCCATTTTTGTAAACTGACACATTATTTTGACTGATTAGCAGCAACATCAGTATTCAACTGATCAATTTCACTAACTTCAACTCAGTACTGATGCTGTTCACTAAAAGTCAGCATCTCTTCATCTGCACTCTTAAAAAATAAAGATGGCTTCCATCTCACTCTTCCTCAGTTTTCTGGAGATTATCCATTAGGGTTTAAAGAAGGTTCACTTCATGTTTCACCAGCCAGTTCCAGCCCAAGTTGTGAGCCTTGGTCTTCTGGAGAGGAACCTGCTGTTCTTGTTTACCCTCCCATTCAGAGGAAAAAGACGGATGCCATAAAAAAAAAAAATAAAGAATAAAGAATCTGCCAAAACGGTTCTTTAAAGAGACATTTCAGAAAATGTGATGTGTGCACAGCTTTTTAAAAGTTTTACCCCTTAAATTCCCACATTCATCACTTCCTAAGGATTATTGTTCAGTAATTACATGGAAATCAATGCAAATTGGCTTGAATTGTTGTTTTTAGGTTACAGGAGTGAGGAATGGAAGCCTGGGCTTGGCACCAATTCATTTTTTATATGCCTAAGTGTTGTTTCGGAAGTTTCATTATTTTTAAGAAGGTATGAGATAAGGATATCAGAATTATGCATAGGGGAGCTAAGCCTTCAAAAGGTAAAGTCTACAGGCATGCATCCCAAGGAGAATTTTTTTAATTCCTCTAAAAGTTCATTATGGTCTTTTAAAATAGTAATCAGCAAAAAAAGATTATGCCACACAGTAGATCTATCTTTTCATAGTTAGTATTAAGCATGGCTCTAGAATGACTTCAACACCATACCTATCTCATTTGATGCAATCGAAAAATCATTCTGTAGTTGCAGTTAATGTTTAATAACCTTGGTTACAGAATTTTATGGTCATAGTGGCACTTGTCAGCACAATAATTATACTTCCTCAATTAAATGTTTATTTAGTCTCACAACAAACTCAGATTTACATGAATTAAAGAATTGCAACAACAAAAGAGAGATCAATCTTTTTAATTTTTTTGGCAAAAATGTTCTTACCTGACTGGACTTCTACAGAGCTGCCAACTTTTAATTTCCATCCACAGGTTAATGAATATAAAAATATATTATGATCAACACTGACCTTTCACTGACATATATGTGTGTGTGTGTGTGTATATATATATAATAACATTATTGGCAGATGTTTATACACACACACACACACACACATATATATATATATATATATATATATATATATATATATATATATATATATATATATATATATATATATATGTGTGTGTGTGTGTGTGTGTATAAACATCTGCCAATAATGTTATTTCCATTTTTTGAGCTATTCACGCTCTCACTTTCTGTGAAGTTTCTGAAAATTCCTAAAATAGTTAGATAGTAGTCAAACAGGCATGTATCACTCTATAACTACTACTTACTGTTTTACTCTGTATATTACATTTTCTGAATAAGGCATAATGTTAATTTCAGTATGTTTTTAGCCAGAATCCTGTCACAACTTCAGCAGTTACTGATCAGCTTTACTTTGCAGAGTGAGAAGCACCAGAGATCCTCACCCAGGTTTTATGCCATTGACTTACAAATTGTGACAAATTCTGATATGATTGGCTAAGCCAGGTGTTACACTTTTCTCCTCTTATGTTATATTAGGAAATCTACAGCAGCAGTAGGGCCTTCCCCAGTTTCTAGAGCCCAGCTGTTTCAGTATATTGTGAATTTGGAACCATAATGGCAAAGCAGAAGAATGAAGAATGAATGAGAAAAGCTACTGATAATTTTATTTAGTAGTATTCATTTGGGGGGCCTAGTGACATCCCTGGCATTACACTGACATATGGCATAGATAGAAAGTACACACAGTGAGATTTCATGCAGGAACAATGGAAAATTGTTGCGTTGGAAAACAAATCTGACTTCAGGCCTTGACATTCATTGCTGTAGATTAGGTTTAGGTATTGATGCATATGTTTTCCTTGTGAGAGCTAGTGTGAGCCTGCCCAAATGATTTAGATGTACAGGATGATTTTCAGAATGGTATTGTTGGAACTTATCTGCATGTGTGTAGTCTACTATTGTGTGTGAACTTCCGTTTTGCATATCATAAATATGCCAACCCTCCCTCTTTATCACCAAACCATTAACCTCAACTCTAACACCCTGCTTTCCTGTGGGTGAGTGCCCAACTGCATTATTACTGCCATTTCCTGTTACTGCCGCAACTGTTTTTTTACTACAAGGCCTATGAGCTTAGAGGCAGCCTGAAGTTAAATAAGATTAAATGGTATGGTACTTTGGTCTGTTTTAGCTGCTGCGTGTCAAAACAATGACTCAATCAGTCGATCAATTGCTGTTCATTTCTATACATTTATTTTTACTGTTACAATGCAGTTCTGGTTAGCAAACAGTAGTGAAAAAGCTACTGCTGCTGCATCATCATGCACCACATGTCTTGGTTTTTGGTGTGATCTCTGGGTTTGGATCTGTGGGGTAAGGGGGTACTGCCCCTCTGGCCATGGGTTTGTTGATCCTATTGTCTCCTGCATCACCACACATGGTCCGATGCATAAAGGGTGTCTGGCTAGAAGCTTAGGCTCTGCAGCTGGCTGAAAAGCAGCCATCACAGCCCATTCGCTCACATCTGCTCAGTGGGGCGACAAGGACTCGCACTGAGGCAACCAGGACAAGACCAGTTCACTTTAGCCCTGAGGCCACCAGGAGAAACCAGAAGAGCAACTGAAACAAGCTCCCACTGGACCAAGGTGCCTGATTGGTCTAAATTCACCTCACAGTCAACCACTGACACTTTAGAAGGTACTAGGCTTTTGTTCTTTTTGGATGTTTTTTACTCTCTGGTATGGATCAGAGACTAGTTTTGTTCTCAGCATATCTGGGTCAGAAAATCGTTGCTCTGCTCTATATGGAGTGGCCTAATTTTATGCTTTTCATGCTGCAAAGATTTTTGAATGAAGATAATAAAAACTGACAAATTCGAGATTGATTACCTTACGTTTATAACTCTTTAAATACTTTCTGGAGGAATTCTTTTATATGCTCTTATCATTAGCTTTTGTTATAACTTTATTCTTTCTGTCATCCTCATGCAGAGCTAAGACATAACCATGGGAGACTGGAGTTTCTTAGGTAATATTTTAGAGGAAGTCAACGAACACTCAACTGTGATTGGCCGTGTTTGGCTTACAGTGCTCTTCATCTTCCGTATTCTGATTCTGGGCACAGCAGCAGAGTTTGTCTGGGGAGACGAACAGTCCGATTACGTGTGTAACACAGAGCAGCCTGGTTGTGAGAATGTCTGTTATGATGAGGCTTTCCCCATCTCCCACATCCGCCTTTGGGTGCTGCAGATCATATTTGTTTCCACTCCTTCACTGGTTTATGTAGGCCATGCTGTCCATCACGTCCACATGGAAGAAAAGCGCAAGGAGCGCGAAGAAGCAGAGCTTAGCCGCCAGCGAGAAATAAACGAGGAGCAGCTACCTGTGGCAGTGGACCAGGGAAGCGTTCGCACGACCAAGGAGGCTAGCCCCAAGGTGAGCAAAAAGTTTCGCCTTGAGGGCACTCTACTCTGCACCTACATCTGCCATATCATCTTCAAGACGCTGTTTGAGGTGGGCTTTGTGGTGGGACAGTATTTTCTGTACGGCTTCCGCATCTTGCCACTGTACAAATGCAGCCGCTGGCCCTGCCCCAACACAGTGGACTGTTTTGTGTCACGGCCCACTGAGAAGACCATCTTTATCATTTTCATGTTGGCTGTGGCTTGTGTCTCACTATTCCTCAACTTTGTGGAGATTATCCACCTGGGTTTGAAGAAGGTCCGCTTCGTGTTCCGCCGGCCAGCTCCAGCCCCAGTTGAGAGCTTTGGTCCTCCTGAGCGGAGCCTGCCGTTCCTTCTCACTCCTCCGATTCACAAGGCTAAAGGCTACAAGCCCCTTGAGGAGGACACCAAGGAGGAGGAGGTTGCACACATCTTCCCGCTGTCTGAAGTAGGTATGGAGGCAGGCCAGCTCCCTACACCCTCTCAGGAGATGGAGCAGAAAGGGGTGCAGGAGGCAGCAGTACCCACAGCACCCCCTGTAGAGGAGACAGTGATTTGTGATGAGATTTTGCCTTCCTTCACTGAAGTCACAGAGACCCTGCTTGAGTTACCACAAGAAGAAGAGATATGTAGAGAAGGAGATGAAGTAGATAGTTTTAGGATGGCTACACCATTGGAAGAGCAGTCAGAGAAGGGGACTTTGGAGGAGATAGTTGATTCAAAAAAGGACGATGAGGAGCAAAGCCTAGGGGACTTGGCCAGTAAAGAGACAGTGATGGATGAGAAGCTGGACATGGAGAGTGAGTCTGAACAGGGTATACTAATTGAGAAGCAAAAGCCTGAGGAAGGGGAGGCAGAGGTAGAGGAGGTTGTAGAAACTCCAGTGGAAAAGCCAGTGACTGAAGAACTTCCTGAAGTTGAGGAGTGTGCATTACACACTGAAGGGACAGGAGATGGTAGGAGCTTGCCTGATGTGGTGGAGGACAGGACAGAAATTGAAGGTTTGGAAGGAGAGGAAAATGTAGCACAGGCAGAACCCGTATGTCAGGAGGAATCTTTAGAGGAGGTGAAATCTCTAGGGGAGGTGGATGTAGTTGAGGAGATCAAGGGGTCAGAAATATTGGAGTGTGCTGAGGAGGCACCTTCTTTATGTCAGGTAGTAGAAGCAAAAGAATCGGAAACTTCATCTAACACAGAATCCATAGACAACGTAATGGATGCAGGTGAGCAGTTAGAGGTTTCAGCCGATGCTATGGACATGAGCAAGGAACAGCCTTCCGGTGAAATGGGCAATCCAGAGGAGACTAAGAGTTCTGCCAGTCTTGATAGTCTGGGGAAGGCTGAAGCTCCTGGAATGGTGGAGAGTCCTGGACTGGTGGAGAGTCCAGAACTAGAGGCTAATTTGCAAGAGCAGGAGGTCCTAGAACAGGTGATTGCAGTCCCTCTCGTACCACTGGAATTGGAGACAACAGAGACACTGGAAGACACGAGACCCTTAAGTCGCCTTAGCAAATGGAACAGCAGAGCCAGGTCAGATGATCTTATGATTTAACTGGCATACAAATGAGCATAACCAAAGAAAATATAGTAATAATTTGCTGATTCCGAAACCAAGTGCCAATTTAATAATAGTATCAGTGCAAAGCGATTATTATTAAGGAAATTACTGTTTTGTTGATATTTCTGGACAAATTCTGTGGGCCAAAGTTTTGTTCCATACTTGCTTCGCTATCTCATTTACTAATTTTTCACATATGTTAGGGCTATTAAGGGCTATTTAAGTTAGAGTCATTAAAATGATACATTAGTTTGAATTTCAATAAATTAAGTGACTAAAGTAAAATTATTTTCCAAGCTTAGATATAATTTTAAAGAAAGGTTTTGTTCATTTAAGAATCTCTTTAGTAACTTTAAATCACATATGCAGTGGAGGCAGTGACATCTTTGACTAGGTTCGTCAAAACTGATTGTGTTAAAATTAATATACATATATATATATATATATATATATATATATATATATATATATATACTATCATTGGGCAAATGTCTAGCTCTAAAATAATCCGATTATAATCAAGCTATCTAGCTCTAAAATAATCCGATTATAATGATTAAACCTTTGACTGTTTTTGCATTAATTTACCTATGTTGTTATATAAACCTGAACTAGAAAAAAACAAATACAAATACAAACAATATAGAGAGGGCAAATACACATTATCTGGAAAAGACTGAATAAGATCATTTTTTATTACCCCTACTTACAAACTACTGTCATATGCAAAATTTTGGGCGTTTATGGTAAAATTACATGTTTTGTTGAGTTAAATATACAGAGAACATGCATCTGCACATTTTAATGCATGATTGCTGTTTATTCATTGAACTGAAAATATTGAGAAGTAATTAAATAAATAAATAATGTAGAAAGTTATACCACATTTTATATTTTATTTTTTCTAATATGTTGAACTTACCAAATAAATAAAAATTCTGTAAAATTTACAGGACAGTACTATATTTATGTTCCCTCTACAGAATGTGTTAATATATTTTCACTTAGAAGATGAACAAAACATAATTTGAGCATGGATGTTCATGGATGTTTGCATATGACTGTATGTCTCTTTTTTTCTATGTTCATATTTTATATTTCTTATTTATTTTGTCCTTATAAACCAGTTAACATGATGATCGTTTGCCTTGGTGCTGCTGAAAGCTCATTTAGTTTATTGTCTGAACACTTTGTCTCATATATTCCCTAAGTGATATGGTCAACTTTTTTGTCAATCCAAAAGTTGTGCTCCCTTTGCATCCACAGGGCAAATCCCCCTTCACTGCTAGAGTAAACATAGCGGTCAGGATGATAAAGATTATGCCCAATCAGCACAAGGTATTGTTCTTCTGCAGACAATAAAAAACTCTCACTGAACAGTCTCATTCTATATATGGTTTTAAAGATTATTATTCATTATTCATTATTATTCATGAATTTACTCTGGAACTATAAATGTGTGAAAAATCATATTGAGCGATGCTTTCAACAGAGAAACAAATAAGCATAAAGAAAGAATCATCCTAAGTCTTATTTAAAAAGTCATGTGTCATTCAGATAAGCTTTAATTCATATGTTGAATGCAAAAGTTTGGGCACCCCTGGTCAAATGACATGTTTTGTTGATTTCTTTTTTGTGAAAATAAGTTAAAACAACCTCTACATAGAACACAATCATGCACATTTTAATGCAAAATACTGTAATACTGTTTATATGATTTTAGTATATTTGGGAAAAAAATAAGACCTCTGCAAAAGTTATGGCACATTTAATATTTTTGTTCCCCATAAATGTTCAACTCAGCAAATAAATAGAAAACATGCAGCAAAAATGTCATATTTAAGTTTGGTCCCTGCAGAGGATATGTTACCTTATTTTCCCTATAACATTTATGTCAATTCTGAATTCTTCCATCAGTTCCATCTGTTATACTGGCATTGGCCTTTATGTTATAGTGAATATGCATCAATACCTAAACCAGGAAGTCGTGTTTGTTGATTCTGTGGGCTGCTTTGTCAGTTTGACTAAGATGTGATGTAAGGTAAAAGTGTAAAGGATGTGAAATATTACCCACAGTTGCTGTAAATGAAGACAAAACGGGCCACAGTGGATAATGAGCTAAAATCTAGCAAGCCATAGTGCTTCTGGTTTTCATTTACTTTTCAGTACTTCGGAGGGCCATGCCTCTTTAATGTACAATGTATTATTTACTCTTAATGTTATTTGTATCATCTGTGACTACAAAGTGGAATAAAGATTCCAGTGTTCATATCTTCTTCTGTTTTAACTGTCTTCTTGTACTTAACATATATTTTTCTTACTGAGCTGATGTTCTGGTGCAACATATTATGAGACTGTGTTGAATGTGCTGAATCCTTTTTTTTCCTTACATGACATGAGTGGCCTCTAGTGGCCAGCAAACACAGTACACATGTTCACCAATGAAATGCAAATTGTCTTTCAAAACAAGGTAAACTATGAACCCAGTTATTTTGATTACTATTACATATTTATTTTCTTTTATTGTTGACAATAGGCACATGAGATATAATGTCATATATGTATAATGTTAAATATTAAAATCCTTTAGTGCACTGTAGTCTTGCATATGATCATCCCTGTGGTCATGCAACAGGTTTTAAATAAGGTAGTGCTGCTTTGTTTGTAAAAAAAAAAATGTGCTTGTACATGTGCTGTCTTTTAGGTGGGCATTTATTAGTGAATGTAGTAAAATAAAATAATGTCACTTGCATGCTGGTTTACTGAGCCCTACTGTATTTGCACAGGTAAGTTAGACATTGTTTGGTTCCCTTCATTCTTCCATAAACTGTGGTTACTTTTCCATAAGCTGCTGAAGTCCAGTTAGACTCTTTAGTCTATTTAATCAATTATTTAACTATTTTCCACTTTTTTAAAATCAGAAAATACATGTTGACATCACATTAAGTCAACAGACAGTTTAACTTTGTTTTTGATCAGATTAGTCAAATTTATTATTAACTCGTAATAAATTGTTCAAGTAAATCAGTTACCTTATTAAAGCTACACTATGTAAGATTATGGGATTTGGAGACCTCGCTGATAGTCGCTGATTTGTAACTGCACACAATGTGCAGAAGAATGTTTTGTAAAGAAACGGTTGCTAAAACCGTGTTTGAAGGGCCAAGAAAATGAGGTAGGGACTGAGTCACGGGCAGTTAAACATGCATGAATCATAAATTATGCTAAAATGTGTTAAGCTTTGATCCACATCATTTTAGTGCTGTTTGTACATTAAATTATTAGTCATTAAGGGGCAAAGAAGCATATACTCCACCACCTGTGAGATAATAGTATAGTAATAATTAAGAAGTAGTTAGGGGGCCCCCTGGTGGCTGTGGGACCCTGAGCAGTCGCTTTTGTGGCTTAATAGGCAGAGCACTGGTTTGTTGGGTTGTAACTGCAATCCTTTAGGCTCCTAGAATTCTTAACTAAAAATTATGGACAGTACTGTACACATAATTTCATGTACTCATCATTACAAACCTACTGTAGCCAAACAACAGTGAAATTTGTTTAATTTACTAAATATCCAGACCATCAACACAATAAAACACCAAATTAAAGTCAGTATAATACCTAAGCTTTTAGCTCATACAGTTATCAGTGGCAAACAGCAGAGTGATTAAATGTATACAGTCAATATTTACACTATTTAGACCGACTCAATATATCTAAGTAACCTTGGTCTTATCTGGTTTCAGATGCTAAGCATTGGAGACTGAATTGAATTCCTAGACTCTTCAAGCTTTTCAGCCCTAGCTTTTCTTCAGGTCATGGATCAATCAAGGAATTAAAAAAAATAAGAAGCCTGTATCTATAAAGTGGTGAAATCCTTATGCTTTTCAGCTCTAGCTTTTATTTTGGTCATATGTCTATCAATGAATTGAAAAAAAGAAGAAGCCTGTATCTTTTAGGTTAAAAAGAGTCTGAGAATACTTTAAGAGGCTGTTTTGTCCGCTAACTTTTGCCACAGACAGCCTTGGTCTTGTCTGGTTTCAGATGATAAGCAAGACTCAGCCTGGTCAGGGAGTGCATGGAAGTTAGATTCCTAGACTTTCAAAGCCTTTCAGCCCTAGCTTTTATTTTGGTCATATATCTTTCAAGAAATTGAAAAAAGACGACGCTCTATCTATTAATTTATATAGACCATTATAATAATATATATAACACCAAGGCTACTTAGAAGTATTCAGTTATTGGTGAAAGCTGGTCAACAAAACAGCCTCTTAAAGTATTTCACCACTCTATTTAACCTGATTAATAAAGAATATGCTTGTGACCGAGGAACTTGGTGAGGAGGGAAACGGTGAAGAGAAGATTATGGTTGAATCTAGATTTAGAGTGCTAGCAGAGTTTAGAGACAGCTAATGTTTTTAAATTGCATTTGATTTTTTTTCTGTATTTGTGTCACTATGAATCGTCTCCTTGAACACAAGAGGCATTGTTAACACAGAAATTTAGCAGTGTGTGCTAAATCATGAAAAATCATGATTTTATTGATGTATGGAGGGAGGGGAATGAAGGGGTGAGAGAATATTCAGGAAGGCAGTGCATGCAAGATTTTTTATGTCAGACTAGAACTGATTTTATTTTTATTTTGATCATACTGGATCAATAATGTTTATTACAAAGATATATCTTTTAGCAATCATTAAGCAGAAGGCAGATTCCACTAAGGAAGTTTTACTGGAATATTGGAGAAGGGTCAAGGGTACTGAAAACATTTTAGAATTAATGCACTATTTTATGGGGATTGATGGCGGTCAGTTTTTTACAGCATATTAATCCTAGAGTGGCAGCAGATGACAGGGAAGAGTGTGACAGGGAACTGACAGATGCAGAGCTAGAGGACACCATAGCCCAGCTGAATAATGGCAAATGTCCAGGCTTAGATGGGTTGCCAAGTGAATTTTATAAGGCTTTTAAACATGTTTTGGTTCCTATTTTAAACT